TGATGTCAGAAAGAATCTGAAACTAATCTCAAATGGTATCTAAATACAGCAGCCAAAATTTCCAAAGGCAATTATCAGGTCCTTATTTTTCAGTGCTATCACATATGGGGAGAAGTGACAGATAAGAGGCAGAATAATAAGAAGAGCACTGATAGCAGAGGTTATTTACTGAGCACCTGATATTAGCAATGTGCTAGGCATTGTGCTAATCAGTTTTCATGAATTATCTAATTTAAATCCTCATAACAACATCATTAGATGGGGCGTACATATGAGGAAAAGAGGTACCAAAAGGTGCTCTTTCAACTTCAGTGATAAATATGTATATCAAATCAGGAACGTCCAACCCTTTCCTGATGAAAAGCACACTGAAGTCTTAAGATTGTCCACAGTAGAGATGGGAAAGAGAAGTCAGAAGTAAAGGGAGATGGGGTAGGAAAGACCTGCTGAAAATGTAAGTTACCCATAAATATGCTGTTGGTGTTGCTTCCATCACCCTGACCACAAAGAGGGCTTCAGGGTGGTGATGGCTGACTAGAGGGTCCTCCAGGCCTGTTGAACTGTTGAATGGTGCTTGTGGGATTTCTTTCCTTTTTTTTTTTTTTTGAGACAGAGTCTTGCTCTGTTGCCCAGGCTGGAGTGCAGTGGTGTGATCTCAGCTCATTGCAACCTCCATTTCCCGGGTTCAAGTGATTCTCCTGCCTCAGGCTCCTGAGTAACTGGAATTACCCACCACCACACCTGATTAATTTTTGTATTTTTAATAGAGACAAGGTTTCACCATGTTGGCCAAGCTGGTCTTGAACTCCTGACCTCAGGTGATCTGCCTGCCTTGGCCTCCCAAAGTGCTGGGATTACAGGCAGGAGCCACCACGCCTGGTTGCTTGAGGGATTTCTGAGATGCAAATTAATCACAGTTCTCTCCCTTCTGGCTTCCATATTGTCAATCCATTGAGAGATAATTTTCACTTTTTTAGATAGCAAAGCTGAATTTGAGAGCATGATTTGGACCCTCAGACAAAACTGTGGTCCTCCCCAATTTCCCCAACTTAAAATTAGGGGGCTGGGCATGGGAAGCAAGATAGGGAATCAGCCCTGGCCCCACAACTTGTGAGTGAAACAGACTGAGACACAGGTAGGGGCAGAAGGAGAGCGACCCACATGCTGCAAGGGCACTCCACTCATTATCCTTGTCCCTCAGAGAGTATGAGCATCCAGGACCAGTAAATGTCACACTACAGTCATTTCCGTAGTAAGATAAATCACTCTCCCCAGAGGAGAAGGGATTGAGAGGTTGGGAGAGGGACTAGAAATGTCATTACGGACCTGTTTCCTCCGGGGAATAGAATGGATGTTCCCTCCTCTCTATAAAATGTGAGAAGACAGGTTCTGCCTCAACCTCCAGTCACCTGGACCTCCTACGGGAACCTCTGCCACAAAGCCCCACTTCCTCAATTTTAATTTGCCTCCCTCTAAGCGATGCTACATATCACATAAATAGCAAGATTCAGACTCAAATAGAAATAGGTAAAACAAAAGCAGAAGCATAAAGAAACAAAATGCTTCAGGCACATTCTCTACCACTGATGAAAGAATAAGCATTCCCAGTGTGATATGACACTAGATGGGATTCTCTTGCTTACTTTACGTTTTCTCTGGATTTTAAACATTTCAACCTTACAGAGCATTTTCGTAATGCACTACTCTCACTATCATGGATCCTGTAGGAAAGGGGTCTAAATGGCAAAGAAAAAAAAATATTTGGGTTATGCCTGGACTTGCTCTACTCAAATTTGGTAAAACTCCCCAATTCATGCTGAAATTTTCCTAGGCAGAAATTGAGAGGCAATTTGCATTGTCTTTCACATGTTTGTAAAAAGCATGTAAAATAAAGCACAGAAGTGCATTACTCCCTGAAACTAAAATTTAACCCATTGGGGGGTGGATTGGAGGGGAAATCTGAATGTTATTCCTCCAATGGGGCATGTGAAGATTGTATGTAAAAAAAGCCATAGAACATATATCCCTTTGGGGATAGTGAAAACGTTTTAGACAGAAAAAAAATCTAGATTACCTTGAGAATGGAGATGACTTTTTAGATACAACACCAAAGGCATGATCCATGAAAAATATGGACAAGATGGAATTTATTAAAATTAAAAACTATCTTCTCTGTGAAAGACATCATAAAGAGAATGAGAAGGCAAGCTATAGACTGGGAGAAAATATCGGCAAAAGACATTTCTGATAAAGGACCATATACAAAATATACAAAGAACTGTTAAAACTAGGTAATATTAACAAACCTATTTAAAAATTGGCAAAAGACCTGAACAGATACCTCATCAAAGAAGATATATTAAAATATACTCAACATGATATGTCATTAGGAAAACACAAATTAAAGCAACAATCAGATATCACTATACTATTAGGATGACCAAAATTCCAGAACAGTGACAGCACCAAAAGCCGATGAAGACATGGAACAAACTCATTTGCTGCTGGTGAGAATGCAAAACGGTACAGCTACGTTGGAAGTCAGTTTGACAGTTTCTTACAAAATGAAATATCCTCTTACCAGGTAATCTAGCAATTGTGCTCCTTCCCATTTACCCAAGTGAGCTAAAAACTTATGTCCATACAAAAACCTGAACAGGGATGTTTATAGCAGGTTTATTCATTACCGTTAACTTAGAAGCAACCAAGATGTTCTTTAGCAGGTGAATGGTGTGGAAATAGGAAACCAATCAAATGAGAAAAGCAAAGGCTAGTGTATTAGTCAGAATTCTACAGAGAAACAGAACCAATAGGATATATCAATAGATAGATATATAAAAAGAGATTTATTATGAGAGATTGGCTCATGCAATTGTGGAGGCTGAGAAGTCCCATAATCTGCCATGTGCAAGCTGGAAGCCAAGGAAAGTCAGTGGTAGTTCCAGTACTCGAAGGCCTGAGAACTGGAGGAGCCAATGGTGTCAGCCCCAATCTGAGTCCAAAGGCCTGGCAACCCCAGAGGTCATGGTAGAAGTCTTGGTTCAAGTATGAAGGCCTGAGAACCAGGAGCACTGATATCCCACGGGAGGAGAATATGGATGTTCCAGATCAGAGAGAGGAAATTGGTCTTTCCTCCACCTTTTGTTCTAATTAGGCCCTCAACGGTTTGGATGATGACCACCTGCACTGGGGAGGATGATCTTCTTCACTCAGTCACCAAATGCTCATTTCTTCCAGAAACCCCCCTCGGGTCACCCAGAAATAAAGCTTTACCAGCAATCTGAACGTCTCTTAGCCCAGTCAAGTTGACATATACAATCAACCATTATAGCTATCTATTCTGAACTTGCTATAGCAAGGGAATCCACCACTGCCACTTGCATTTCAGCAGAGACTCAAAGTCAGGAAGAAAAGTGGGGAAGCTTGAGAGTGGAAAAAAGGGAAGGCTTCCAGTGTGTCCTGATGGGAGGCTTTTGGAGTTGGGAAGCTACAGGTAGGCTAACTAGAAGCAGGGCATCATATGCTTTTGGTTAGGGGTATATGTTTGGCTTTCTCTAGTTGAAGCTGGAAGAGGGGACAAAAATTAGAGAAGCTGTCAGTTACTAATCAAGTTCTGGCCATTTGGGGCTGATTATTACAGAGGTTATTATTTAGCTTCCTGAATCGTCACTAGAGAGAAAAATCTCACTTCCTGCAAGTTGGACTTATATCAGGCTGGCTTCCTGGGTTATTCATTATAAATAAGGCAGTTGGTCTCTGGGCAGATTGCTGCCGGTTGTGGGTTAAACTTCTAGTTTTATGCTTTTACACTGTTGTGGGAGTGTAAATTAGTTCAACCATTGTGGAAGACAGTGTGGCAATTCCTCAAGGACCTAGAACCAGAAATACCACTTGACCTAGCAATCCCATTGTTGGATATATACCCAAAGGATTATAAATCATTCTACTATAAAGACACATGCACATGTATGTTTACTGCAGCACTGTTCACAATAGCAAAGACTTGGAACCAACCCAAATGCCCTTCAATAATAGACTGGAGAAATAAAATGTGGCGCATAAATACCATGGAATATTATGCAGCCAAAAAAAGATGAGTTCATGTCCTTTGCAGGGACATGGGTGAAGCTGGAAATCATCATTCTCAGCAAACTAACACAGGAACAGAAAACTAAACACCACATGTTCTCACTCATAAGTGGGAATCAAACAATGAGACCACATGGATACAGGGAGGGGAACATCACACAGCAGGGCCTGTCAGAGGGTGGGAAGCTAGGGGAGGGATAGCATTATGAGAAATACCTAATGTAGATGAAGGGTTGATGGGTGCAGCAAACCACCATGGCACATGCCTACCTATGTAACAAACCTGCACATTCTGTACATGTATCCCAGAACTTAAAGTATATATATATATATGTTCTAGTTTTATGGCCATTGTCCATTTACATATTCAGTCTCTCAACAAATAAACAATGTGACATCCAAACAATGGTATATAATTCTGTAATATAAAGAAATGTGCCGTTAAGTCATAAAAAAACATGAAGGCAACTTAAATGCATATTACTCAGTGAATGATGCCAGTCTGAAAAGGCTGCATAACCCATGCTTCCAACTACATGACATCTGGAAAAGTCAAAACTATGGAGACAATAAAAAGATCAGTGGCTGCCAGAGGTTAGGGAGGAAGAAGGGACGAATAGGCAGAGGTTTGGAAGGTTTTTAGGGCAGTGAAACTATTCTATATGCTACTGTAATCATACTTGTGCATCATACTTGTGCAAACCCATAGAGTGTATAACACCAACAGTGAACCGTAATGTAAACTCTGGACTCTGGGTGATAATGGTGTGTCAATGTCAGTCTATTGATTCTAACAAATGTGCCATGGTGATGTGCACACATTCTAACAAATGTGCCACATTCTAACAAATGTGCCATGGTGATGTGCACACATTCTAACAAATGTGCCACATTCTAACAAATGTGCCATGGTGATACACATCATACTTGTGCAAACCCATAGAGTGTATAACACCAACAGTGAACCGTAATGTAAACTTTGGACTCTGGGTGATAATGGTGTGTCAATGTCAGTCTATTGATTCTAACAAATGTGCCATGGTGATGGGAATGTCTGACGGAGGTAGGGTGTATGTGGAATTCTTTGTACTTTTCACTTAATTTTACTGAGAACCTGAAACTACTCTAAAAGTATTCTATTTAAAAGGAAAAAAATTTAGAACTAGATAGTGTTAATGGTTGCATAACATTGCAAATGTACTAAATGCTAACATAACAAAACACATATTTTAAAACGGTTAATTTCATGTGAATTCTGCCTGTGTTTTTTGTTTGTTTGTTTTTTTAGAAAATGGGCATACACTAAAAACAAAACATATAGTGATCATCCTAACTTCTGACTGACCACCCTGGTTCATTGCTGGGACTCACATGAGACCAGGCCGTCCTGAAAAGTGTGACCTGGCCGGCCAGAAAAGGTGAGGCCCCACCTGGGAAAGGATCCATGCCTAAGGGAGGAGAAGGGAAGGCAGGTTTGATCCAGTGGTCATGAGGAGGGCGATTCAAAGAATGAATCAGTTTCTAACGCCCATGTGTCCCAGGTGTAAGTGCATGTCTCTTTGTCCTCTTGGTCTTTGTCACCCTTGCTTTAAGTCACTGTGCCCTGACAGCGGATGTCCTGTATGCTCCCAGATAATGCCGGAGTCCAAGGCATGGGCTGTTTGCACAGCATGGCAGGTGCCTCTCACCACTTCCAGCTAACCCTGCCCTGGTTGCCCTCCCTATACCTCTACCACCTGTCTACTACCTCCACGCCACGCCAGCTGCTTCCCAGGGCAGGTTCACGAAGCTTTGCCAGAGGCTTTGGTAACAATGGAATGACACCACTCAACAAGGATGCAGCTGCGCATTAGCCCTCACCTTCCTAAAGTTCTGGGGCAAATCTACCCAACTCAGGTTCCCAGCAGAGGCCTTCCCCTAAGCCTCGTCCATCACCATGCCGTTGGTTCTCTTCCCTCAGAACATACAGCAGTGCTGCTCAAAGGGAGGTCTCCAAACCATCAGCATCGGAAATTTCTTTAAATGCGGATGTGCAGATCCTTCCCCAGGGCTACTGAACGAGAATCTCTGAGTTGGGAGCATTTTAACCGGCATTTTTCTTAATTCCTCAGGTGACCAATGTTTCCCCACAGTCGGGGGTTTCAGGGGCTGTGCTGTGAGGTGGGTTCTATCTCCCACCCTCCTCTTCACAGCCTTCTCACTGGAGAGTAGATAGCACCAGGCATCAAAGGGGCCCAAGAATTGTTTTCCAGGCACATTCCATTGTCAAAACACAAGCTCCTTGTGTCAGAATCCCTTTTAAGAAGATTCGCTTTGTAGAATGGCTTTTGAGCAGGTCATGAAGGAAGACATTTGTATCTCTAAGGAGTTGTCATCCTCATTTTTACTTTAATTTCAATTTTGTGAAACATGATATTTTGGATGTATCTTAACACAGCTTAATCCATTACATCCCAAGAGACACTCTTGCAATTTGTCCTTTTAAAAATGTATCATAGGAAGGAAGGAAGAGGCAGGGAGGCAGGGTGCACAGCGGCAAGCTCCCCCACTCCCGCCGCACTTCTTAGATGCAACTCTGCTGGACTTTGGCTCAAGGTCAACTTGGCTTTCAAAATTGATGGTGTTGCCTGAACTTTTTCCATAGTCTCTCTCTGTATCTCCTCCTTCCCTCATTTTCCTTCCCCAGGTTTTACTATAGAGTAAAATGGTAAAAACATAAAAGGTAAGAATACAAAAGAGAGAGCAAAGAGAGGATTTTACACATTGGCTTGAAGTTCATGTTACCCATGGTTTGGAATTGTTATCTAGTTACCAAAAGCTTCTGGCTTGGACACCAAGAAAATTCGTTTGACACTAAAAAGTTAAAAATGCCAGATGCAATCCAGTGTTTAGACAGGCCTGGCAGATGAAACATTCCAGAGCTGGGAAATGGTACAAGAAAAAAACCCACTCAAAATCCACAGGCCTCTGCATTTATGCTTTTCACCCTAACCCTCCTTTCTCCCATTGTCAATTAATGGCTTATGGATTGGCAATCCACCTGTGTGCTGCCGAGCATCCCTTTCTCTGTCACTAATGATTAATTGCTTCTTTATTAGTGGCAGTTCTACAGTTCTATAAAGCCAAAAAATAAAAAACTCTGGGCCCTGCTTTAATAAAGGAGGAGGGGAATGAAGATCTAGTCCCTGTGCTTTTCTACATATAGAAAAGCCTAGATGAGAAAACATGGCCCTTTGTAAATACGTATTTATTTGTATGTCTCCCCTGCTGAACCTGTGTTACACCACAGAGCAAAGTTTGATTGAGGAGGCCTGAGGTGAGTCCAAGAATGTGGATTTCTAACAACTTCCCACGTGATTCTGCTGGTCTGGAAACTCCACTTTGACAACCACAGGTCAACGCAATGAGTCTTTCAACCCTAGCTGCACATAAGAAGCACCTGTGGTGCTTTTGAAAACTTAATGTTGGGGCCCATCTCAGAAGAATAGGTCATTTTGAAGTCACATGAGCACTTCAGAATACCTCTAGGTCTGTGGCTGTCCATCTTGGCTGCACATTTGATTACCTGGGGGGGATTTTAAAATCCTGATGGCCAGGCTTCCTCCCCACACCTCAACCCCATTCTCAGACATGACTCGTTTTCAAAGCTCCCCGGGTGATGTGAATACGCAGCTGGCCACACGGAGAACTGGAATTCCAGAACTTTATCGCTGAGCAGCTGCCACAGCTCAGTGTGTGGGTTTCAGAGTCACCCTGAGCAACCTCAGGAACAGTTTCTTTTCTGTTAAGTGGGTTTTAAAATAGAGGCTCCAAACCCACGTATGTTGAAGCTGCAGGGTTTGGGTGGCGTTTTAACCTCCATGTAGGCACAGAGGATCATTACCAACTCCTTCAAGGTCAGGGAAGCAACCACTATGAAGCCTGACTCTTGTTCCTTCCTTCCTCTGGAGGTGGAAGCAGAGGGTGACATTTTTTTTTCTTTTTTTGAGACAGAGTCTTGCTCTAGTTGCCTAAGCTAGAGTGCAATGGCACGATCTCAGCTCACCGCAACCTCCACCTCCTGGGTTCAAGTGATTCTCCTGCCTCCCACCTCACCCAACTAATTTTGTATTTTTAGTAGAGACATGATTTCCCCATGTTAATCAGGCTGGTCTCGAGCTCCTAACCTCAGGTGATCCACCCACCTCCGCCTCCCAAAGTGCTGGGATTACAGGCTTGAGTCACCACACCCAGCGAGAGGGTGACATTTTAAATAGGGTCGATTGCAGAGCCTCACTGGGAGGGTGATATTTGAGGGACATGGGACAAGATGTGAAGGAATGTGTTGGTGGTGATTAATGCAAGGTTAATCTGGCCCCACTCGGTGTGACTGCAAGCTGAGAGAGGAGGATTAGACCCGCAATCGTCTCAAGAAGCACCTAGGGAGAATGGTCTGGGAAGGCCTGCTAGGATGCTCAGGACAGCCGGGGCATTCAGGTACCTGGGGTGCTTCAGGACAAGGCAGGAGAGGACTCACTAGGGACCCAGGGAAGCTTGGAAAACACCATTCGACTGAGATCTGGTTGCTAAATGTGGCTTTTTTGATGAAGGACCCAAAGGACACACTTTTGGCTGAGTGCAGTGGCTCAAACCTGTAATCCTAGCACTTGGGAGGCCAAGGCCAGTGGATCACCTGAGGTCAGGAGTTCAAGACCAGCCTGTCTTGAACATGATGAAACCCCATCTCTACTAAAAATACAAAAAAAAAAAAAAAAAAAAAAAAAAAAGCTGGGAGTGGTGGCAGGTGCCCGTAATCTCAGGTATTTTGGGGGCTGAGGCAGGAGAATCGTTTGAACCTGGGAGGCGGAGGTTGCAGTGAGCCAAAGTCACACCATTGCCCTCCAGCCTGGGCAACAAGAGGGAAACTCCATCTCAAAAAAAAGAAAAGAAAAGAAAATACAAAGGACACACCTTCCTTTCAAAATGGGTGCTTTACAGCAATCCCATTATGGGGTATTACCCAAAGGATGATAAATCATTCTGTTATAAAGACACATGCACATGTTTCCTTACTGCAGCACTGTTCACAATAGCAAAGACTAGGAACAACCAAAATGCCCTTCAGTGATAGGCTGGATAAAGCAAATGTGGCACATATACACCATGGAATGCTATGCAGCCTTAAAAAAGATGAGTTCATGTCCTTTGTAGGAACAACAACAAAAAAGCTGGAAACCATCATTCTCAGCAAACTGACACAAGAACAGAAATCCAAACACCACATGTTCTCACTCATAAGTGGGCGTTAAACAATGAGAACACATACACTTGGACACAGGGAGGGGAACATCACACACCGGGGCCTGTGGGGGGAGGTTGGGGGCTGGGGAGGGATAGCAGGGTGTGGGGGACTAGGGGAGGGATAGAATTAGGAGAAATACCTAAAGTAGATGACGGTAGGATGAATGCAGCAAACCACCACGACACATGAATACCTATGTAACAAACCTGCATGTTCTGCACATAAACCCCAGAACTTAAAGTGTAATAATAAAATAAAGTAAAATAACGTGTGGTTTAGACTAAGCCACTTTAGGGAAGAATTATTGAGCACATGGCCCTTTAAACCTGAGACATGAAAGATCATCTGGTGTTCTTTTCAAACAATGTTTCAAAGAGCTCTGGGGCTCCCAAACTTTCTTTAGGGGATCTGGTAGGAGACAAAGTGGGAGGCAAGAACTGTGGTGGAGCCCAGGAGTGGGCTGGGGGACTTCAGCCCCCCATGGACAGGAAGTCTGGTGAGCAGTGTATTTGCCTTGCAGCACCGAGACAATCCAGAGCACAGGCTGCCTGCTCACTCCTGCCGCTCACTCTTCTAAGTACTTTGCATGTTTGAGTCCACTTAATACTCAGCAACCCTGTGAGATAATTCTATGACCTATTACTATGCATAATAAGGAAAGAAGCCAGGGAGGCCAAAAACTAGTCTCAGACCACAGAGCTGTAAGTGGCTGAGTGGGGACTCACACTCTGCAGCCTGGTTCCAGACACCATGCTCCACCACCACGCTGACCCCGATCTGTACTGCTGTGCCCACCGTACCGTCCCAGTAGCTGCCTGTAAGCCTTTTAGCATCCCCTTGGCCACACAAGAGAGACTCAAGGCTTCCTCATCTACAGTTCAACCAGAGTTCCTCCAAGTTTAGCCCAGCGTGACACGGCCCCTTCTTTTTTTATCTCCAAGTGTCTGCCACTGTCCCTGCCATGACAGATGAGTGGTATGTCTCCTGATTCCATTTGGTGGGGCAGGCAGAGCCATGCAATTCCTTCTCCTCTGGAGCTCTTCCCAAGGTAACTGGTATTGGCAGCATGTGCCTTTCCCAGGTAGCCCGCCTCACAGGTTTTTCCTAAGCCAATCAGGCAGAACTACAATCTAGGGACTCTTTACCGAAAGGGCCAGGTGGGTGGCAGGGTGGACAAGAGGCAGGGCGAAACCTGGCCTTCTCTCTAGCTCAGGTGTTGTCCCAGACTTTGCCATAGAAGGCCCTTCCAACTCCTCTTTGCAAAGAGAAGGCCCCAGCCCCCAGGGTGTCCACCTCCCTCCCCATCTCACTTTTTCTCCAGAAGAGAACCACTCCCCCTTCGCCCTCTTCAAATCTCATCCCGAGCCTTGCTGCCCTACTTCCTGCACTCTTCGTCTTCTGTAAATGGGGAGGATGAAGCCAGGCATGGTGGCTCACACCTATAATCCCAGCACTTTGGAAGCCCAAGGCAGGTGGACCACGAGGTAAAGAGATTGAGACCATCCTGGCCAACATGGTGAAACCTTGTCTCTACTAAAAATATAAAAATTATCTGGATGTGGTGGTGCACACCTGTAGTCCCAGCTACTTGGGAGGCTGAGGCAAGAGAATCGCTTGAACCTGGGATACAAAGGTTGCAGAGAGCTGAGATAGAGCCACTGCACTCCAGCCTGGCAACAGAGCGAGACTCCATCTCAAAAAAAAAAAAAAAAATGGGAAGGATGAGGTTCTGACCCTTGGTTCTATTCGCTGGCCCTCAAATTGCTTGCATAGAACCTTGGGTTCTCTGAGGGTCTTCTCGGAGTCCGCAGGGAGAGCTGCAGCGGCACCGAGCCCAGTCAAGTGCTGGGCTCCTGGGAGCACTGGGAGCCCCTTGCAGTTCAGCCTCCCAGTAGAAACAGATGTTTTGAGGAGAAGGCTGAGGAGTAACCTTGACAAAAACACACTGCTAGTTTCTATTGGACACCATGCAGCTTCGTACCTAAGGATGCCTTTTCTCCTCTTAGCAGACCTCGCACCATTTGGAATAGCCTTTCTCTCTAAGCCTGGCTGTGGGCCTTGACCCATGGAACCCACTGGGCCCCATAATTACGGTGCTTTCCGACCTGCCCTGAGGCTGTCTGCCTTGTAGGTGAAGTCACACTCACTGTAAATGGACCTTCGTTCCTATCCAGGAGGAATGGCACTAGATTTTGTACTTAAACTTATAAAAAATATTCCAAGTGGGCTGGGTGGGGTGGCTCATGCCTGTAATCCCAGCACTTTGGGAGGCCGAGGCAGATGGATCACCTGAGATTGGGAGTTTGAGAGCAGCCTGACCAACATGGAGAAACCCTGTCTCTACTAAAAATACAAAAAATTAGCCGGGTGTGGTAGCACATGCCTGTAATCTCAGCTACTCGGGAGGCTGAGGGAGGAGAATCACTTGAACCTGGGAGGCAGAGGTTGCGGTGACTGAGATCCTGCCTTTGCACTCCAACCTGGGCAAGAGGTGTGAAACTCCATCTCAAAAAAAAATATTCAAAATTTCTTCTTGATTTAGGTGGTGGGGGGGAGGCACATGCTTTTCATATAGACATACATTTATAGGCATTCCAGGTAAATTTTGGATTTAAAAAAGAAGCCCATGCTTGGCAGCAGGGTGGGGTGGGGTGGGGTGGGGTGGGGTGGGGGGTGGGAAGAATTCTGAAAACAGATATTGAGTCTTTGTACCTCATTTTATATTTGAGGAAACTCAGTCCAAGGAGATGAGATTTCTCTGACATGGCTACTGAGCTCTTCTTTCACAAAAGAAGAATAAGCCGCATGTTTCCCATGAAGCAGTTTTTACAGAGAAAGAATGGGGCTGCAGTTCCTTCTAGAATAATGTGTAGAGTGATGTGCGGGGTCCTGGCCTGTATTTTGTCTCCCTTGGGCATCTCTCTGACTGGCCCTTTCTTTTGCAATAACTTAGATGGAAAGTGTGGCAAGGTAAGACTGAATGATATTATTTCAAGGCTAGAATACTTCTGGACTCAATCCTTCTCCTTGCTGGGCTGTTTCAAGGCCCATGCCTTGGATGTCTGCATTCCTCAAGGCTAAATCTGATCCCCGGGAATGTAGCTGTTTTTCTTCCTAGATTCTGGGCAGTTTGTTTAAGATAAAGAGATGGCAAACAGGCTGAATTTGAACTAAAGGAAAGATTGGAAAGGCAATTGCACAGTCTATGCTTGTACTGGCACAGATGACATCATCCCTGAGGAGAGGGCATCAGGTGTAAGGAGGAGCCTGCCTCCAGACAGCCCCTGGTTACTGCCATTATAAAGAGAAATTCAGCCAGGTGCAGTGGCTCAGACCGCTTCGGGTGGCTAAGGCAGGAGGTTTGCTTGAGACCAGGAGTTCAAGACTAGCTTGGGAAATGTAGCAAGACCCCATCTCTACAAAAACATTAAAAAATTAGATGCACAGAGTGGAGTGCCCCTGTGGTCTCCAGTACTGAGGAGGCTGCGGCAGGAGGATCACTTGGACCCAGGAGTTTGAGGCTGCAGTGAGCTATGATAATGGCACTGCACTCCAGCCTGGGTGACAGAGAGAGACCCTGTCTCAAATAATTAAATAAGAGACATCACCCTTCACTTGTTTTCTTTCCTCCTCTGGGAATGTCCCCATATGACTAATTCTTACCCCAGGGCTGCTGTGAGATTGGGGTGGAATGGAGTGGAGTGAGAAGCAAGAAACAATGGCTAAGAGCCCAAATTCTGAGTCAAAAACAACCTCTACTCCCAAGTGACCTTGTGCTCTCAGCTCTCCATTTTCTCATCTTTATATGAGGGGAGAACAGCATCTCCCCATATCATGATTGTGCCAATGAAATCAGATAATGCAACACTTTCGGAAGAAGTCGTTTGTAGTCTATTTCACTTCCTTGTCTTACTGTGTCTCCTTGGCCCACATGAGCTGGTCACTAATGATCTGCACCTGGCAAATCCAGTGACTGCTCCTCTGTGACAATGATTCTACGTGGCCTGTCTGCAATTCTCAACACAGCTGCAGGCCCTCTCCTCTCCCAGCCTCTGAGACAGCACCTTGCCCTCATTCCCCTTCCTCCTTGGCCCCTCCTTGGCCTTTGATGGCTCCTCATGCTCTCTCTCAGGGCTGTGTGCTTCCTTCCCTCCCTCACATCCTCCCCCAGAGTGATTCTATCCAGTCCCAGGACTTCAGGTGCCATTGGAAGCCAATGATGCCCAAATCTGTATCACCAGCCTTGACCTTCTCCAGGAATTTCACACTGAGGTATCCAACTTCCTATTGGACATTGCCACTTAGGTGCCTAATGGTCATTCCGTATGTCATGTGGCCAGAAAAATACTCTTAATTCTTACTCCCCACCACTCACTCAAAAGAGCCTGCTTCTCAATCTTGCTTTTAGGAGTTATGTTCAATTGTCCTTTCCTTTGCAGCCTCCTTCTGCTCACCTCCTGCTGCCTTCATCTAATCCATGAGCCTGTCTTGTCAACCACATCTTAAACACTTGCCTTGGACCCACCCTCCTCTCTCCATCTCCACTGGTACCACCCAATCCACACCCCTTTCTCTTGTTCCTGGGCTGGTCACTAACCTCCCTGCTTGCCTTCCTGCCCCTGCTGCAGTCATGCTCCTTACCCTGGCAGAATCATGTCCTGACCCCGACCAGGCCCCACATCCATTCTTTCCCTTATCCATTCGACTACAGCCATACTGACCCTCTTACTATTCCTCACACTTGCTAAACTCATTCTCACTTTAGAGCCTTTGCTTGAGAGTCTGGTACACTCTTTGCTCTGACAGGGTTGGCTGCTTCTTATCAAGGTCTCAGCTTGTGTTGCTTTCTCAGAGAGGCTTTCTCTAACCATCCAAAGTCACCGCTGAGTTGTTTGCTATTTAATCATGTTTGCCAGTTCTAATCCGCTGCATAGCGTTTATCACTGATGGTTTTCTCATTTTTTTAAGTTGCCTATTTATCACCACTAGAGCATACACTTCATTAGGATAGGTGCCAAGGAAACAATGGGGGCTGACAGCCATGGATTTTTTCATTTACTGTGGACATATTTATTGAGCATGTACTAGATGCCAGGTACTGAGTGTGTCTCTGAGGACGCAGAGGTAAATGAGCTGGAGCTGCATCCTAAAGTCACAGCGTGGTAGGAGAGGCAGCCCATGAACAGATGTCTTAATCAGCTTGGGCTGCTGTAGCAAAAATACCATAGACTGGGTGGTTTAAACAACAGAAAGTATTTTTTTTAGGGTTCTGGAGGCTGGAAGTCCAAGATCAGAGTGCCTGCACTGTCAGGTTCTGGTGAGGGTCCTCTTCCTGGCTTGCAGACAGCTGCCTTCTTGCTCTGTCCTCATAAAGCAGAGAGAGAGAGGGAGCTCACTAGTGTCCCTTCTTATAAGGGCTAATCCCTTCCCAGGCATCAGAGAGGTATTAAAAAAAAAAAAAAGGTGGGGGGGGAGCTAATCCCATAGGACCAGGGCTCCACCCTCAATTTCATCTAACCCTAATCACCTCCCAAAAGCCCCATCTCCAAAGACCATCACATTGGGGTTAAGGCTTCACATGTGAATATGTGGGTACACAATTCCATCTGTAGTAACAGATTCATAAGTAAGTGGATGACAAGTGGATGGTCTTCACTCTGGGGAGGAGATCCGCAGCTCCAGGTGACCTAACAGGGAGGATGGTACCTGAACAAGAGGTCTTGAAGCATGCATAGGAGCTTACCAGGTAGTCAGAGATGAGAGAGGGGAAGAATATTCTTGGTGGATAGAATATGTGAAAGGAATAGAGGTTGGAAACAGCATAATCTTCCTTAAAACGCCAGGTCCCACCATCGCCAAAACATGGGTGTGAACTCCTGCGCCTGTGTCATGCTGACTCACTCCCTCTGCCTCAGCAGCATCCTGCACTTCGGTGACATATTTTCTGCTACAAGACTAAAGTCACTAAGATTTGGAGCAGGAAGGACCTTTAATGCACCTTATTCACTTTACAGAGAAGCAAAATTCAACTCAGAGAATCAATAAGGAGTTTCCCGAAGCTGTACTGTTTCCTTCTAGCAGAACCAGGCTCAGGCCCCAGACGTCTGACTCTCAGGCAAGTGCCCCTTCCGATATATCACAATGGATGTCCCGCACATCTCATGCTTATTCCAATATTGCTACTACAGAGAAATGGTGGTAGTGGAGGTCAGCAGTGTTTAATTTTCCCCAGTCCCTGCAACCCCTAAGGCTGTTTATTTTATAAGATATTTAAAGTTACCTCTTATTGAAGAGGAAGAAAGTATTCACTTAGCAAAAACATCCTATCTGTTTGCAATCTGCTTTCTATACCAAATTCCTAGAATGGGTTCAAGGAGCAAAAAAATAGGCGTTGACTGTGCTTTGTAAGCTATGCAAATGCTGCTTCATAATAATAATGACTTTGATATTTATATGATGTCATTGGCACCTGTGATGGTCACAGTGTCGAACAGGCCAGCCTAGCCCACAGCAGTGGGCGGTTGTTGCTGACCAAGAGAGAGCTGAAGAGTAGAAGCACAGAATTCTCTCTTCCTAAATGCCCTCCATTACTGGATAAGCCAAGAGTGACCGAAACAGAGGAGGGTACAGGGAAGGTGATGGGATGCTTTGGAGGAGAGGACACTTAGAAAGTACTTTTTTTTGAAACAGAGTCTCTCTCTGTCACCCAGGCTGGAGTGCAGTGGTGCAATCTCAGTTCACTGTCACTGCTGCCTCCCGAGTTCAAGCAATTCTCCTGCCTCAGCCACCTGAGTAGCTGGGATTATAGGTATGCATCACCATGTCCAGTTAACTTTGTAGTTTTAGTAGAGATGGGTTTTCACAGTGTTGGCCAGGCTGGTCTCGAACTCCTGGCCTTGGCCTCCCAAAGTGCTGGGATTACAGGTGTGAGCCACCACATCCAGCCAGAAAGTACTTATAAAATCTCCCCACCACAGACGGGGAGCTCAGAAGTGTGATATGTTGCCAGGATCCTTGGTCAAGTGACAGAAACCCAAAGCAAGCTAGTTGAAGAGAAAGGGGAGAACTTATTGGTCTACATAAGAGTAAAAATCAAAAGGATTTCCAACTTCAGCCACACCTGAATTGAGACCCAAGTGAGGTGGTTCCAGCTCCCGTCTCAGGCAGGTGGCTTCCAGGAGCCCAGGAGCCACATTTCACCAGATTAGCTACACACCAGCAGAAAACTCCCTGGGATAACCCAGTTTGGCCTGGCTGGGGCCCAGTCCCCAACCCCGAGCTGATTATGTGACAAGTGGGATGGGGACAGTAGTAGGCCCAGAACTCCATGAAATGGGTCTTCCATGGGGAAGAGGGGCTCTGCTAACTTAAGAAGAAGGAAAGGATGGTGGACAGTTAAAACAAAGATATACACCCCATTACTGAAAGATTGAGCTGCATCTGCTTTGGAGGTTTCCCACAGAAGTGATTCCACACTGCACCAGCCTCCAAGGGCGTTCTCAAGTTCTCCTTCCTTGGGGTCACTAGGATTGCACTGAAGGTGCATACTAAAATATTTTTAATTTGGAGAAGAAAGGAAAGTGTAATTTAGAAACTCTTAACCCTACTCTATCCCCTCCCACAAAACACTCGAAGTTAGATAGCAAAGGGCACATACAGTTTTAAATTATTTGCCACTTTACATCATCTACATCATGACTGCATTTCTTTAGCTGGGATGATTGGGAACTGGATGTAACTTCTATGGAGGGAGAAACAGCCACTCAGGCAAATACCTTTCCTGTTAATAAGGTGATGGGCTCCAAAGCAGAGGAATTCTATGAAGTGACACAGTCCATGACTCACAGTGACTCACAGCCCTCCCCGAGTTTGGTACAAATCCCTTCCTGATGCCAGTGGGAGGTGTCCGGGGGTGACTGAATCAATTGGTGTGCGTTACCACGTTATGCCACATCACTTCTTGCTAAGATTTATTTTTGCAGGCTCTCAAATGTCTTTTTTTTGAGACAGTCTTTCTCTGTTGCCCAGGCTGCAGTGCAGTGGCTCAATCTCGGCTCACTGCAACCCTACCTCCTGCATTCAAGGGATTCTCCTGCCTCAGCCTCCCAAATAGCTGGGACTACAGGCCTGTACCAGCACTCCCAGCTAATTGTTTTGTATTTTTTAGTAGAAACAGGGTTTTACCGTGTTAGCCAGGCTGGTCTAGGTCTTCTGACCTCATGATCTGCCTGCCTTGGCCTCCCAAAGTGCTGGGATTACAGGCAGGAGCCACTGCGCCTGGCAGGCTCCTAAACTTTTAAATTGACAACAGGCAACACCTTTAGTATAGGCGTTGTAAGAAAAAAAAATGTGAAGGTTATGAAGGCTGAATGCCGTTCTCTTCTCTGAAATAAAACACAAAGGAAACAGCAGGAAGGAACTGCTTCTCCCTGGTATGACAGGCGCACTTGTTCTGTTCAAAGGGCCTCCATCCACACTCCTTCCTCCCAGAGGTAACGGGTGAGGGTGCCTTAGACATGTTTGCCGTCTGTCAGTGGCTTTCGAGGCTCCCTCTCCTTGGACCCTAGAGTACAAGGTTGCACTCCAGGCTGTCACCGGCAGCTGGGAGCATGCTCACCAAGTTGGGCATTTTCAGATATCTCACATGTGAGATGGTGTCCAAGTCTGATGGAACAGGCCGGGGTCTTTGTGCCCAGGGTTCTACCTCAGAGGGCTAACAGGCCATCTGAACTGACTTTGAAGGCTTCCTGTGGGGTCTACCCCGACGTCGTCCACCTCCCTGCCCAGCTTCTCCGTCACATGGCAGTCATGCTCACAAGCTCACTTGCATTCCACTCACAGCACTCTGTGATGCTACGGCCTTTCTCATGAACACTCATTTATTTACCTTCCAATTTTATTTATTTTTATTTTTTTATTTTTGAGACAGAGTTTTGCTCTGTCATCCAGGGTGGAGTGCAGAGGTGCAATCTATAACCTCCACCTCCCAGATTCAAGTGATTCTCCTGCCTCAGCCTCCCTAGTAGCTGGGATTACAAACACGTGCCACCATGTCTGGCTCATTTTTTGTATTTTTAGTAGAGACAGGGTTTCATCATGTTGGCCAGGCTTATCTCAAACTCCTGACCTCAAGTGATCTGCCCACCTTGGCCTCCCAAAGTGTTGGGATTATAAGTGTGAGCCACTGCGCCCAGCCAACCTTCTGATTTTCATTGCTTAAAACTCTCTGTAGCAACAGAACATGTCACACAGGGTGGAAAATGACTATCCAACTAGAGACACTCGTGGTATGATGAAAGAGGACTAGTCTGTGGGCAGACCACTTTGATTCCTATCCTAGCCCCACCACTTACTGGCTGTGCTGTGTGACCTTGGACAGGTCACTAAACTTCTCTGAGCCTCGGTGTCCTTTTCTATAAAGTATGGCATTAATATGATGATGAAGGTGATATTGGTAACATGTTTAGTACCACGTTCAATAAGTGGTGGCTCATCATCATTAGTGTCATTGTTATTTCCCACTTAGTAAAGGAATAGGATTGTTGAAGGTGGGCAGCAGGAAGAAGTGGCCTCTTCCACTTACTGGTCTTGAGAGAAAACATGCTGGTCCTGATAAAAACAAATTAGCTGCAACAGGCTACTACAAACTTCTTCCCAATTACTTAAAAAGGCATCTGAGGCTGGGAGCAGTGGCTCACGACTATAATCCTAATAATTTGGGAGGCCAAGGTGACAGAATTGCTAGAATCCAGGAGTTTGAGGCCAACCTAGGCAACAGGAGACCCTGTCTCTACAAAACATAAACAAAATTATCTGGGCATGGTGGTGCATGCCTGTGGTCGCAGCTACTCATGAGTCTGAGGTGGGAGAATCACTTGAAGCCAAGAGTTCAAGGCTGCAGTGAGCCAGGATTACACTACTCTAGTCCGGCTATGGTGCCAGAGTGAGATCCTGTCTCAAAAAGAAAAAAAAAGGAGCCAGGCATGGGGGATCACGCCTGTAATCCCAGCACTTTGAGAGGCTGAGGCAGGTGGATCACCTGAGGACAAGAGTTCAACACCAGCCTGACCAACATGGAGAAACTCCTTCTCTATTAAAAATACAAAATTAGCCAGGCATGGTGGCACATGCCTGTAATCCCAGCTACTTGGGAGGCTGAGGCAGGAGTATCACTTTAACATGGGAGGCGGAAGTTGCAGAGAGCCAAGATCATGCCATTGCACCGCAGCTTGGGCAACAAAAGCGAAACTCCGTCTCAAAACAAAACCAAAAAAAAAAAAAAGAAAAGCAGAGGAGAGGGGAGGGGAGGATCCCTGACCATGAGCATCACCACTCCACGTTCCTCTGCAAGTGAAACTATTGGGTCCATCTCACCTTGTCCCCCTGCTCTGGCCCTCTCCTTGCCTTCCCCGGTGCCCTCTGGGGTGCCAGGAGAGCCTGAGGAGGAGCAGGTGAAACTTCGTAACCCATGCAGTCTCTTCCATTTGCCCCCAGCGCCCCTCGCTTTTGCTACCTACTAAATTGCTGGCTGGTGAACTCCTCCCCCAGGGCAGGCAGGTAACTGGCATGTTCAGTGGGAAAAACTTAGGCCAGTTGCTGCCCTGGGGGAGCGCAGCCACAGCAGAAGGGAAAATGTTGATGGCACAACTTTTACTTTAATTTGCAGGAGGAAAGTCAAGAGCTTCTTGAATTCTCCTGGTGACCCTGACTGAGCTGGGGGGTGAGAAGAGCAGTCCTGGATGAACTGTGGCCTGGCCACTAGCATCATTGCCATTTTCCTCCACAGGCTCATCAAGGCTACCATTGAGTGGCTGCTGTATCGGTGAAGACAACACAGGGAGAGGATCGCATCAGAGGGGACTTGGCTCTCAGAGTGGTCAAAACATGTTCCTAAACATAAATAACACCATTAAAAGATGCCATCTTCCTGATCTGGGCCATATCTCCATTCCTCATTGCAATGGTTTGAATGCATCCCCTTCAAAATTCAGCTGCTGCCAATGTGATAGTATTCAGAGGTGGGCCTTTTAGAGGTGATTAGGGCATGGGGTCTACTCCCTCCTTAGTGGGATTAAGGCCCTTTTAAAAGAGCCTTCTTGCAGCATTTGGGCAGCTTGCCT